GCACAACAAATAACTGACTTTGACCTGATCTTTTAAAAAAAGACAATCAAGTTAAAGTTATTGCAATTAAAAAAAAAAAGAAAAAAAAAAAGAAAAGAAAGACGACCCACTGAATAAAAAAACACAAAAAAACTAAATCTGATGCTTAAAATCTCTAAAGTTCAAGTGTAAAACATGCATCACATCACACAGAGCAACATAATATTGGTCATAATTCTAACTGAAGGTTTTGGTTAATTCTCCTTTAAAACTCCTTAAATATCAAATGAAGAAGTGATCAAACATCCTAAACAGAAGCTCTGACTGACCTGGACACAGACATTTATCACATTGTTCAGAGAGCATCCATCTCATTCTAACACACTGAGAGTCAAAGTGCTTTTTAAATCGCTGGCAGCTCACTGTTTAAGGTAACAGCTTTAAAGCAAAGATCATAAATCTAAAAGGCTTTATAGGAGATCATAAAAACGTCACGTCGTCCTGCGACTCCACCCAGCACCACTGAGCATCGTAGCCCAGTAAAGCCTTCTCTCTGCTGGCTTCCTCCGCCTCCTTATTGGACGGAGACTCTGAGAAGCCGTCCTGGGTTTGCTGAACTGTCTCTCCAGGGCGAACAAAACTCCCAGCATCCACTCTGGATTTCCTTTTGTTGGACCTGAGCAGGGCTCTCCTGATGGTGTTTGCACCACCTTCAATGCGCTGTGGCACCTCCGAGTCCAGCGGTTCTGACTTTGGTTCATCGGCACAAACCAAACTGTTGGCAGGATTTGATGACGCCCGACCGGAGCTCCTCTGTGCCGATCGACCGAGTTTAAACTCGGAGCTCTCGGGACTCGGAGGTCTCGCTCCACTGGACTCTGAATGGAGAACGTCAAAGTAGCTCATGTGGTTCGAGTCGGTGTGCGGTGGAGGCTGGTGGTCCGCCGAGTCCACGCTGCTGGTTTCGGTAAAATCCTGGAAGCACGTTGGACTCGGGCTTTCTCTGTGGGAGCAAGAGAGGAAATATTCAACCGCATGAGCCTCACACTGTAATGAAAAATACAAATTTTACAAATAATATCTCTAAAATAAATGTTTCTCCCCAAAACATATGACAGAAATATCAGCAAATTTATTATTTCTGCACTTTAAAAAATAATATCACCTCAAAAAATATAAAACGTTAGGTAGTTTTTTGTAATTGTATAGAAAAGTATGCAAAATTAACAACCAAACAGTATTTTAAGTATTCTAATAATGCAAAATTCCATTTATTTTTATGGAAAATGTACTTTATTATTTGCACTTGATTTTTTTCTGCTTCTTAAATCATATACGCATTTATGAAAAATGACATTAATTGCCTACGATATACTAACAAGTTAACATTTTTCCTCAAAATATCAATCTTATTAGTGTTTTTTAGTAATTCTGGACATGAATTAAGCATTTTTTTTCCCATGACATCCAGCAGAATGTATTGACAGGGATGCTCTGCTCTCTGAGTCTTTCAGGCATGTTGCCCCCTTAATCGGCCCTGCGGCAGCAGTGCAGCAGTCTTTGGGTGATACATGGACTTAACTGCATTAATTGTCCACACATGACAAGATTTGGACAGAAGTCCTTCCCGGGGAGTCCTCATTGTCTCCACACTCCTGCTGCTGGAGCTCATTATGTTCTCATGGCTGCTTATGTTTTTGTGCTTTGTCCCCAGATATTTACTTAAAGGCATTAGTGTTCGGTAGGCGTTGCTCTACAACAGGTCCTAACTTTGTTTTTCAGTTCCTTCTCAGGGAACTCTGTAGAATGATTTGTGAATAACTGATTGATACCGCATATGTTTATCTGAATAAGTAAATATATGCTATTCGGAATCAGTAGTGCTGTGTACTTTGTCTTCCAAAATGCAGCTGTTGTTTCACGATCTTGAGCTTTGATTGTAATAATTGAGGCCAAATCTGTAAATTAAATGGTTTCGGTGCAGAAACTTTAATTATGCCACTTTCTTTAAGGTGTTTGATGGTAATAATTCAGAAATAATCTCTAAAATAAGTGTTTCTCCCCAAAACGTATGACAGAAATGTTAGTAAATTTATTGTTTTTCACTTTTAAATTAGGATATAATCAATTGAATTTAACGTTTTTTTGTGGCGTAGCTGTTGCTGCCATTCATTCTTTTATTTTTAGTGTAAGATGAAAATGTTTGATTCAAACATGAGCTGTTTGGATGATTTTTTTTGCTAAAATGTCAGAATTTAAAGTTAACAGATAAAAGTTAGAGGAATACATTTACTAATTAGGGTCTGAGTATGAACAGTGCAGGAACCTTATTGGAACCGCTGTGACTGTTCTACTTTCTTTCTTCCATCCATCCATCATCTATACATCGCTTAATCCTCACCAGGGTGGTGAGGGGCTGGAGTCTATTCCAGCTGACTTAGGGCGAAGGCAGGGGACACCCTGGACAGGCAACCAGTCTATCACAGGGCTACACTTAGAGACAGACAACCAAGCACACTCACATTCACACCTACAGACAATTTAGAATCACCAATTAACCTCAACATGTTTTTGGACTGTGGGAGGAAGCCAGAGAACCCAGAGAGAACCCACGCTGCACGGGGAGAACATGGAGACTCCACACAGAAAGATCCCGGGTGTCCTCACTGGGACGCCAACCGGAGACCTTCTAGCTGCGAGGCAACGGTGCTAACCACCGCTCCACCTTACAGCCCCATCATACTTTCTTTTTCGCCAAAAACAAAAGTATTTTTGGGCCTAATCATGCTCGAAAACTCACCAAAATTTGTGAAAAATTTGATCCTTTAAAGCATGTTAATGGCAAAATGGCTCCACAGCGCCCCCTAGAAAACTTCAACAGAGTCCTGTCGGAAGCACGTGTGGCCTAAGAGCTACAAAATTCAGTAGGCATATGTAGCAGGTCTAGAGTACCCACATTCTGCACCCAACAGGAAGTCCGCCATTTTTGAAATACGGCGAGCATTTCCCTCATTTTCAAAATCTGTCTCCTCCTAGGGGGGATGTCGTACACACCTGAAACTGGGCCAGCACGTGTTCTTAAAACGCTCAACAAAAGTCTGACGGCGAGGAAATGCCGGCCTCGCAGCTTCAATTTCGTTTTGAATCTTTTTTGGGGAGCAAGCTTCAGATGTTGCAGCATCAGTTAGTTGTGTTGAACCTGAATGACTTCTAGCAAAAATGTAGGTTTACTAAAGAGAGACATAAACTACTTTTGAAATGCGACAGGCCTCAAAAATGTTCAATTTGTGGATGTTTGCAAAAAGAGACTATTAAAAAACTCAGTCTTACATTTAAAAGCCTCTTCTGACTGATTCTTACAGCAGCTTGTATCATATTGTATGAACAGTTTTGTTTCATCCTCACATACGTCCGACAGATGGATGAGTTTTAGTAAAGTCTGCAAACATGTTGCGCTTCTGGACTTTTCTTATGCTGATAATTGTTCTGCAATGCAAATTCCTCTACAGATACTGAAGATTCACCTCCACTGACTTTATATTTAGCTTAAAAATACTGTTTGATTCAACCAGGCTCCTGCACACCCGACACACTCACAGCTCTACCTGCAGGGAGACATGGAGGGCCAGTGCTCCTCCACGGTCACCAGGCTGCTCAGGCTCCCCGTCAAGCTGCTGCCTCGGCTGGCGAAGGCCCCCCTCTCCTCCATCAGCCAGCGCATGGCCTCGATGCCCTCGTGCACGGCCACCAGCTGACGGAGAATCCTCACGTCGGCCGAGCGGAGCCACCTCTGAGGGGGGAAGGAGTTAGGCCAGATAAATGTCAGGTGTGTGTGTTTGGAGAGCTGAGAGAGGAGCTCTGCTTGTGTGACTACAATGCATGAATGAAGAGAATTGAGAGGAATGAGGGAGGAGCAAAGGTCAGAGATGAAGGGAGGTGAATGAGAGGAGACAGAAGAGAGGTGTGGAGACAGGGTCTGTCATTAGAAATAAAAAATGAGCAGGTGAAGTGTGTCAGGAAGGAACTTTTGGCATTTGGCAGAAACATGTGAGCAGAATAAATAGAGGAGCTAAAAACAAGTTGTGCAAGTTGTGCTATTGGACACGAGGCAGCTGCTCCACAAAACAAGGAAACGCGCAGAAAGGTCTTGTTTTATATGAGAAACAACAGAAATCGTTACCATCTCTTGCTTCAAGTTGTCGATTTTGTCAGAGAAGCTGTCAGCAGATCTCCGGTCTCCTCTGTCCGCCTCATGGTCTTCACAGTCCGCAGCATCCTTCATCCAGATCAGAAGACTCTCCGGTGTTTTCCTGCCAATCTTAGACTCCAGCTCCTTTAAATCTGGGAAGGAGTCGTTGAGGATTTCCTCTGCTGCCATGCCGGCTGATCTCTCCAAAGTATCCGAGAACAGTTTGTGCGTAAATACGCTCAAGCTCTCCAACTACCACTGAGAGATACCAGACCCCCTCCACCCCCCCAGCAGCGAAAAAAAAGAGTCACACCAACCCCTCCACACACTCCAAACAGAGCCCATGCGTTGTGTTCCTGAACGCTCCACGGTTATAGGTGCCCAAGAATGACAAAGTTGTCGCAGAAGCGCGGAGCGAGCCGTGAAAACGCTGGAAGTGCGCGCGAACAAATCATGTTTGGCCGCTGGCTGCTGTCACCATTGAGGTATTGCTGGTATGTAAAAGCCGGAACATGATGCTGGAAAGTGGAAGTTGCTCTTTGTGTAGTCGTCAAAACAATGGTGGGAGTTTCAGAGCGGCGCGGTCACATGGAGGCTTCCTGACACCTGCGCGCAGCGGAGCGCAAAGGATCCGATCTGAACACAGCAAACCACGTTGATCAGAGGCTCATCAGAACATCTCAGCGCTGATTACACCGACTGCTCAATTAGCTGACGACGTTATTTTTGGTTATTTATCAAATCTAATCAAGTTTATTGTCATTTAAGCCCCAAATTATTCATAATTATTCATCAAGTTTTATTTTAAGGGGTTTTCTTCTTCCTGGAAATGACATAAACACGTCCCTAAAGATGGTAAGATGTATAATAGATGTATAATATTTATTATTTATTGACATTTTTAACTAAAAAAAACACGTCTAATATGATTTATAGCCTTTCTCAGTAGCCTCTTCTTGTTTATTTTTTTTAGTTGAATTTATTTTAAGTGTCTGAAATACATAAAAAATAACGAGAAAATGTTTAACAGCCCTTCAGTTTTACTCAGAATACCCTGATTGAGATTGTCTGCCACTTTATATTATTATTTATTTCATTTTACTATTATTATCTCCTTTATTTATTAATTTATTTTTCCATCCTTATGCATTTATGCCTTCCAGCTGCGTTTCGGATTGTCTGGATGTTTGTCTATACCTTGTTCCTGCTATTGTACACTATTCATTGTTGAACTTAAATATAGATTGAAAAAAAAGAGCTGGAGCACACGTGATCTCACCATGTTTTGTTCTGTGACAAACAAAAAAAAAACTCTTCTTGTATTTGCTGACAGGCTTTCTTTACTGGGATTTTTGAGGCTGGATTTGGAATCTTTGAGGTCGGATTCTTCTTTGTCCTCACTTGGATTCTTGTTGGATTCAGGGCTGGACTTGTTGATATTATCACTCGCTTCTTCACCACTCTGGCGGCATGTTTCAGGTCGTCGTCTTGCTGAAAGGTCCAGAGCTGCCCAAGGACAAGTTTTGTCTGCAGACCGCCTGATGTCTTAATCTTATCGTTGTCCTCTTTTTCTCACGACGCCGTTTGCTTCGACAAGGTTGTCCGCTCCGTTGGCTGAAAACCACCATCTTCGACCGTTTGGATGGTGTTCTTGGGGTCGAATGCTTCTGCTTTCTTTCACCAAACAACATTTCTGTCTCATCCCAAAAGCTTTCTTCAGCTGAACTGCTCAGATTGATCAGGACAGTCTTGGTGGTGGTCCTTGGATTCTTCTTGGTCTTTCACGCCACCATTCCCACCAGTGCAGGGGTCACTTCGGGCCTCTTATCACACCTGGAGAGATTTTCTTCATGATACGTTGCACTGTGACCACTGGCACTTGGATATAGTTTTATAGACTTTCACTGACTTGTGATCAGCCGTAGTGTGACACTCTGAACCCGATAGCTCACTCAGCTCGTTGGTTTTAGCCACGACTTGCAATCTTCTAAAAACTGACTGTAGAGCTACATCATCAGCTACTCTCAGTTTATATTGTATTAGAAATTTTTTTTAAAAGTACAACAGCATCTGTGACATGATGTCATACTGTTTTCTGTCATTTCCAGCCAATAAAAATCTACAGGTCAAATAAAAACTCACGTTCAATCAAAATTAGGCATGAATATGAATAATTAATTGTCGAACTGTACATAGCAGGTATTAAAATAAGCTGATGTTACAACCCAGCCTCTAGGGTCAGCTGGATGTAACCAAAACCAGATGGAAATGGTTCAGGTAATTTATTGCTCAGTAAATGAACATAACAAAACTGTGACAATACAAAAGAAGATGGTTGATTTTGCTAAAAAATCAAAAGAACCAAACGAACGCTGACAGAGTGTCGAAAGCTAAACTAAAAAAACTAAACTCCTTCGCCAAATTTTAATAGCAACATCCACACATAAAAGAAACTAGTGCCTCAAAACACACAGTACAAAAAAAAACACAAGACACGAGGAACTTCTTCACAAAGTTGGGCAGCTCCTAACGGGAGTCGGTCTTCACTAAGACTCTCTGGAACTCCCACACCGAGTCAGCAGCTGCCAACAGAAGTTACATGAACACAAAAGACACAAACCGAGAAGCACCAGGATTGTTCACACTATATCCCAACCAGCCCCGACTGAAAGGTTGCGGGTTGGTTTTATAGCCAGGTGTGGTGATTGCTGGGGTGGAGGAGGAGGAGTGGTGGTCCAATCAGATGTGACCGGAGACGGGGAGACCAAGGCTCCAGGCTGATTAGCTGAGATGACTGGCAGCTGGTGTCCTGGATCAGCTCTCAGCCAGCCACAGCCGGGCCGACACAGGTCATCTCCACACACAACGGTCACATAAGTCCACAGAACCAAAACGGCTCCGTGGGCTGGAACACCTGAGTTGACCAAAGTGCTGCACATGTTATAAGAAAGTGACCCATCTGCACAAAATCAGTCGCATTGCACCTTGAGCTATTATGCATAAATCCAAGCGGCATGTTGCTACCACATGACACAAATCACGGGACAGGATTGGCTGGCGATGACACGTTGCTCGCGGAGCCTGTGCACAAGGGATTTCTGCGGCTTCTTTCTGGTGTCAGCGCTCATGCACGTTGAAGGTATTTAACAGTTAGACATAATATTACTACGCTCTGTAATATTATATGCTACCTACATGTAGAAATAGATCTACACTCCTCCCGCTCACTACACTCGACCAACAAAAGCCTCCTGGTCCAACCACCACAACAGGGTCTGAGGTCGATAGCTAGACTCGTCTCCTCTGTGGCTCCCCAGTGGTGGAATGAAACTCTGTTCAATCACTTGACAGCCCAAAAACAAACAAACAAACAAAAATTCCTATCACCTCCCTTCAGCCTGCTGATGGCATCAACACCCTATCACACTTGAACTTGCTCTATGGCTCTTATCCAGGTTGTTTCCTCCTGACTAGATCCTTGCTTGTGTTGTATCTGCTCTCAGATGTACGTCGCTTTGGATAAAAGCGTCTGCTAAATGAAATTGTTGAATAGTACAGTTGTAGAAAACAGCTAAATGGACCGATCTAAGTAATAAACCCAAATCATTATCATGTGTTGACGTGATTCGGGCTGTATCTTGGATATAGCCCGAGGCGCAATGACTGAGTTCGTGCAGATGGGTCACATATGTGCAAAAAAGCAAGAAAGAAACAAGGAAAACCCAATAAACAAAATGCAAAACAGGATTGTACATAGATAATATCGCTACAAGAATCCTTTTCAACCAAGATAATCACATTTTAACAGCCCTGATTTAGTCCTCTTCACTTGTTGCACACTCTATGACATTCTAGATTAAATTTTTGGGTATTTTAGGCATTAAAACTGACATTTTTTCCCCATTTTTTGGACCCATCACAGATGTTTTTCCAACTTTACTAAAAATCAAAAGTCGAAACACTGAACCCATTTTCCAAAGTTCTGTGAGAGTGAAGGAAGCAGGTCCGTACGGTCGCACCCGGCCCACTTTCAGACACGTTGACGCGTGAGGACGCCGACATCTGCCACCCACTGAAATAGCTGATTTATTTTTATTTGCCTGTCATCTTGCCCCACATGAACGGCTCTCAGAATCAGAGCAGCAGTTATGGGAGCTTCCTGCTTCCTCACGACTGAGGTTCGGACCAGTTTTTTGTGAATTGTTTGACCGGCGAGCTGATGAAGTGACCTGATAAAAGGACAAGCAACTTCCAGAGACTAAAAGTAGGTTTATGATGCTTCACCAAGTCAGGAGTCGTGTTGATGCTCTGAGTAACATGAATAAGTAGATTTATTTGCTGTCCTTGTGTATAAAACGGTTTATTAAATCGCATAGACTGGCTCCACCTGCAACATGCTGCTGGTACTATAATAATATAGCAGTCAGAGGGACCAAACCAGTAAGTTTACTTTCATTTTCATTTCATGCTTTAACTGCATTCACTGCTTAGACTTGTGTACTTTTACTTCAGTAGGATTTTTCATGCAGAACCTTTACTTGTAATGCAGTATTTTGACATCACTGTATTGGTACTGGCACTGCAAGGTGGCTCAGTGGTTAGCACCGTTGCCTCGCAGCTAGAAGGTCGCCGGTTGGCGTCCCGGTGAGGACACCCGGGATCTTTCTGCGTGGAGTCTCCATGTTCTCCCCGTGCAGCGTGGGTTCTCTCCAGGTTCTCCGGCTTCCTCCCACAAGGTCCAAAAACATGTTGAGGTTAATTGGTGATTGGTGTATAGATGATGGATGGATGTATTGGTACTTTCACTTAGATAAAGGATCTTCCAACACTTTATATCTGTCACACAAACAAATGCAAAGAAACTGTGGCTGGGAGAGTTCTGGGGGGATAACTACTAGAAAACATAAATCTTTATTTTCGAAGTAAGCACGTAAAACAGCGTTTACCTCACGCACAAAATGGAACGAGACAGCTGCGTTTAGCCGGTCGAGTCGTGTTTCAGAGCAGCACCGGCTTAAAGAATGACTCACGATCTCGCTCGTGATTTAAAAGATGAAATTTTTACAGGCCTGAAGCTTTACCTCCCTCGGTGGGTCACCCCGCGCTTTAGAAGCTCGTAAAATTCAGTCACCTTTACCTTTAAATCTCAGCAGTGCCACAGAATCTCTTGGTTACCGGAGCTTCTTTGTGCTCAGGAGGACGACGCTGTAGTTGTAATGATCGGCTAAGTGAACATGAGCCAGGCCGGTGTGGAAATATGTGGGTTTTTTTTCACACTTTGTACAGGAATCTCAGAAGTTATTGACTGTTGGCCTTGTGCAAA